CTCGGTGCTAGTACCCTGCAGCTCCGTTCTTGTGCACTACTGGCATGAGAAGTGGCACGCTACTGCGCTGCGGACCCATTCACCTCGCACATGGCAGCGATCGTCCTCGGATACGAGATTACAGTTCGTCTTTGAGGCTCTGTCTATCCTCCCAGGCAATCGTAGAGCCCAGTAACCCATTCACGACCTACAGGAGTTGGTAACTAGCACAATTCCATCCGCATTTTCAAGGAAGCCTTTAGACCGTACATGCTGACCGAGCAGAATCGTGAGCACCCTCTTGACTTCCTTCCAGGCGAGTCTTTTCTCTTACCATCGGCATTGCCGGAAAGGAAAGGCACACCAGCGAGGAAAGCACAATGACAGGTCTGACCCCACCCATATGATCAATTGGTAGCATGCTTTTGAACCGTCACTGACTAGCTAAAACTAAGACCGACACTGAATTCGGTTCAAACGTCTCTTTCGAAAATTCCCAACAATGCTCAACAAGACGCTGCATAGATTTTCATTTCCTAATGCATTTGTTGTTTTTCTGATAGTGAGATCACATATCATTTTTACTTCAAATTCACGATTTGCCAAACCAAATTCATGACTTTTCGAACCAAATTCACGAATTTTCAGACCAAATTCGCGACTTTTCAAAACAGATCCAAGACTTAGTTACCCATGCCTTACTAGACACTACTGCAAGCCCCCCCCTATAGCCACGCCCACATTTCAGCGTGGTCGTGATTTTTCAAATTTTATTTTATAATTCTGCATTTGTGACTTTTTTTTACACTTTTTGCCTCTCTTCTCGCTAAGCTAAAGGATCTGTTCATGCGCATCGTGGGCAAATCCGCTCATTTTTAAAGGCAATTGGCACGATGTTTTCCCACTCGGCTTAAAATGCTGGTAGGGCGCTGTATAGGAGGAAAGTGGCGAAAGAACGGAGTGAAACGGTCAAGAATTCCGGCGAAGAAAAAGCCTCCGTTCTCAGTGACTTGAAAATTGATTTTGGACGAGTTTCCCGCACACATCTTGCCTTAACGATACCAAGGTAGACTGCATATTGTGTACCAGTGTGCATGCAGCTCAAGGTCGCAGCCATATCAATCCGCTTCGCTTCAAATTGTGCCTCAGGGCAAATGAATGAACTCGGAACGGAAGCTTCAGGAACGGTCGTGTTTGGTGTGGCGGGTGCGGGCGGTTTTGGGACGGATGTTGTGGCTCGATAGGCGTTATGGGGTGCCTCCTCGGAAAAGGCGCCACGGAGCGCCTGTCCGAGGTTACGGAATTCTGCTAAGCCAGTCGTATAAATCCTACATCTGTATAGCGGTTTATCGCGCCAACTGCCTTACGGATTCAATTGCAAATCTTTCACTACCACCGATCTTGTTTCGAATTCCGTTAATTCGTTGAAAGGTCGTATAACGATGTGAAAATGGTATATGTTGGAAGAAAGTCCTGTCAGTGTTTTTTAGATAGCCTACAGTTTTTGATCTTCGAAGCTCGAACATGACGTAACATGCTAAGGTTGTAGAACATTCTCGAAGCTTTTCCACAAGATATATCAGACTCCTTGTCTTTCCGCGTGTGTTTATATTATGATATCGAGTTTCACGGGAGCGATCAATTTCAGAGTGATCAATTTTCTAGGAGTGCGCACCGTCTGCTGAGCGGGCTGAGCGACGGCAGCGGCCCGTAACATCAACTGTGCATTGGGGGAGGACACCACCACCGTCAGGACTGTCCACCGTTGGTTCGCTCGCTTCGCGAAAGGAGAGACGATCTTCGAAGACAAACCTCGTCTGGGACGCTTGTCCCTCTCGGCGGCGTAGAAAGAATTCTCGGCCGTTTCTCCCTTTTCTGAAACCTGGTTTTCCGAGAGATCCAGAGGCACAACGCGCAGTAATTGGCAAAAGGCTTAGGGTGTAGCCATACAACAGCTCTAAGCCGCCTTCAGGCCCTTGGCTACAGAAAAGTCCTCACGCGATGGATACCTCATGCTCTAACAGATGGCACGCGGTATGCCAGGGTGAGCATCTGTCGATCCCTCCTTCTACACCGTAACCGGAAGGAGTTTCTGGAAGATATTGTGACTGGAGATGAAAGCTGGGTCCTCTATGATTCCAACCTACGTCGTGCATGTGCTTGCTCGTGGAGAAGACGCCGCCTACTGAAACCCAGATTGACATGCACTCCAGACGGTCTCCTCTGTGCTTCAGGCAATGGAGGGCATGCTTGCAACCGGAGCTGCTTCTGCAAAGGGCATAAAACGATTACCCAGCTATCGTTTACGCCCGCCAACTCCAGAAATCGCGCAATGCTTCGAGAAAAGGCCGAGACGAGCTTGCGGATGGTAACCTTCTCTTATGACGCCAGACCACATGTGGCTAAAGAGACCCACCGCCAAATTGAGGAGCTAGGCTGGGAGACCGTTCCCCATCCACCATATTCTCCAGACCTAGCCCCTCCGACTACTACTTGTTCCGCTCCCTCAAGGCTTTCCTAGGTAAGAAAACCTTCAGCGAATTTGATGGCATCAATCGAGAAGTTGCCTACTTCTTCGACTCGCAGCCTCCTCAGTTCTGGGAGAAGGGGATAGCTGAGTTGCCCATTAGGTGGAGCACTGTAGTGGCTAACAATGGCGATTATATTATTGATTAGTTTTTATTTCATGTTGAGTTAGAAAATAAAAAAGAAAAAATCACAACAGTGACAGGACTTTCTTTCCAACCTATAACCACTACGTAAACATTTTATTTGTAATTTTACTGCCTATTCAAGCAGTTAAAGGCTACAGAACGTTGTTAGAGATTTTACCTGTTTCCGCTTTTACTGCCGCTATGGTGAGATCCTCGATTGTAGTTTGGCCCTTCCTGAAAGGATATATTTCGGATAAATTCGTCGCTATACAGGGAGTCTAGACTTACGGGATCGTTTACAAGCATAAGATTGTCTCATCGTACATAAATCAGTGTTCTGAAAGTTATACTTTTATTCTACATTATAAGTAATTTCTGCTACAAGACTATCAAGTCATGTGGGAAAGAGTGGAAAGCTGATCTGTAACCACGAAAAAAATGCTTCAGCTAAGGCAACAAGCGCAAGGCCTGCAAGTTAACGCCTCTATTGGAGGGGCCAATGATAATTTTGTGAAGCCTACGGACTGTGCTAGTGAGCTCACACTGAAAGAGATAGTGTTGACAGAGGGTCATTTCGCATGTAGCGTTTGAGCCTGGTGACCAGCTATAACTATATGAAACTGAAAGACATTTCAAAATCTACACGATGGAGGGTTTTGTCGAGATTTACTGGTTCGCTTTCTGCACCACGTTATGTCCTAGTGCAGTCCTCACAGAGAAGAGTAGTTGGGGATCCATATGCGGGCCTCTCCCCGGGAGCTCTCTTTCCCATGAACTAAGTTATCATTTTCAAATGTTTGTTCTATCCAATGTTCTCATCTTTCCACCGATTTTTCTCTCGGAAAGCTGCCATCAAGGAGCGGAGGGTCGATGGAGGGTAGCGGTATACAGCGCACTAGAAAGGAAAAGCTGGAAAACTCAATAAGTTCGAAAATGTTTCCACAGAAGCAGCTGTAAGCCTTACCCCCTTTCCTTCAAATAGTTCACCCAATTTGCGGGAGTCCCCAGCGTAAAAGTGTTACTCCAATTTGAATGCAGCGGTCCGGCGATTCAGGTATAAAGATGAAAATATTGCGTCAGGTGAGTATTTATGGGTCCACAATCGACCAACCTGGTACCCGGTTTCCTGCGCAAAAAATTGCACGAGAGAGGCGCCTGTAGAGCAATGAGGTTGGGGCTCCTGTCCTCCTTTTTTCCAGTCCCGCACTCAAGGCCCGCAAGGCTCCACCCTCAGGGCCCGCATTTCACTGCTACAGAACGAAAAAGCATGAAAATCCTGTCGTGGGGTTGCAGAGTTTTTATCGGAGAACCAGTGTGGTGGGAAGAAGGGGTATGATTGGAGATACAGTTAACTGTGCACGTACAAACCGGGAATCGAAATGGGGTTCTATCCAGGGCCAGTTGGCATTATTTACCTTTTTTTCATTTTCGAGCTACTTAGAGCCTTGTCGTCTATATCAGAACTCCAAAATCCACTTCGAATGATCGGCGGACTGCAATTGAAGGTATCAAGAAACTTGACTAAGACAGATAGGCTAGAAAAGTACAGGGTAGGAATATTAGCGCGCCATTGCTTGCCACCCAAGCTATTTGCCTCGCTTCCGCCCCCCCACCTTGTTTTTTTTCGCCTTTCCTTTTCCTTCTCGGCTTAGTTGGCAACCGTATTCTGGTGAACTTATTGGAACGGAAACCTTTCACGCTAGATTGTTTGAATAGTTACGCTCACCGTTGATTATGTTCTTGGCTCTCTGCATCAAGAAGGAAAAGGTCCTGCATAATAAGAATTGGATGGTGGTCAATACTTCATGCTCTTTAGTCTCACCGTTCATTAAAGCCGAAAGAAAAACAAAAAAACACCCTCCCCTCCAAAGGAGACTATGTTTTACTTTTGCGAGATTTAGGTCACTTTGCCTGTCAACCTGCACCATTTCAGTGTTTTCCAATAATTTTCTCTTTCAGAAATTATAAAATCGACCCACGCGTATTTTTGAAGCCACTTCTTGCTTTTTGTTGTCTTTGGAATGGAGGCAGTAGAGCCTGAAAGTCGATCGTAGATGTTGTTGATAATAACTTGAGCACAGCTTGCTCTCTGCGAATACTAGGGTGCGTCCAGCGTTCGAGGGTGAATTTGGGCTTCGCCCAGCCCTCTCATCAAACCCGTTTTTTTTTGGAAAAACGCATTGTGCGACAAAAGTTGGCGAAGAATGGCCTGGCGCCGCCAAATCCGCCCTTCCTGAGCGAACAAAATTAATTCTGAAGATCAAGCGCTTGCTACACAAACAAAAGCTTAGAGGCCAACAAACATAGACATGGTTCGCTGAAACTTGTGTGTTACTGAATTGCCTGCCGCTGCTCCCGTTGTGAGTATTACGCTATTCCTGTATGCGCTGAACCGAAATACCGTCCCCCTGGGCCGATGTCGAAATCAGGCTGGTCAGAAGAGCTTCGACAACAAGGACAGCACGGGCTGTCAGCCTGCAACACTGAACATTATTCTTCCTATAGGACACTAGAACGCAGACGCTGTGTTAAGAAACTGAATAGGTAAGTAGAAAGCTGAAAAAGGAAATCGCTTTAAATACAGCCCCTTCGATCTAGTTTTTCGACCTGACAGCGAAGAGAGGGTGTGATAGGTCGCTTACCAGACAGGGGACTTGCGGTCAATATGGTCGCCGCACCTGATCTCAGCTGATTTCTACACTGACCCTGCCCACGTCCTTTTGCGAGTCTTCTTGGCGGATTTTCTGTTCCGGGCTGGGTAAGGCCAAAAAAGGGTCCAGCCAATGAGAGGAAGGAGGTTAGAATGCCCTCGTCATTCGGCTCTACGCCACAAGGTGGTGCAGCCGGTGTCGCCGCAAACTAGTCTACTTGTCCTACAAACCCACTGTGAAGTAAATGCTGGCTAATTTCAATAGAGATGACCACAGAGAAATGGCGATGGTGTGAAAGGAATCAGACAGAGAAACGAACCTTTGAAAATTCAGAGTCCACAACGGATTTGAGTGAGGACCCACTTCTGCCGTAGTTCGGTTGTTCACCCCATAGCGAATTGGGTCCTGAATATCACCGCTATAATGAAACTTTCAAATGGTGATCAGTACAAGCCTCAAAATCTACTGCAAAAAAAAGAAATTTGCAAGGGCTGTGTAATAACGTTGAATTAAAAAAGGGACAGTGGTGGGGCAGTCAGATCACGCTGGGGATCCCCAGTCGCGGAGGTCGTAATATTTGGTCAATGGAGAGAGACATTCGTGTTTTGCTTTAGGAATAACGCTTTCGGTCTTTGACCTCTGCCTCGTTTGGCGGCAGTTACTGGAAGGAACTGGTAGAATTTTTGAAAAAAAAACTTCGAGTTCTACTGGTTCGGGAGAATTGAGGAAGTCCGTAGGTAGGATGTGAAAGAGGAGAATAATGCTAAAGGAGTGGTTTCCGAGGGGGGGGGTTCTACTTCGCGGAAATTCCTCCTACTGGAGGACGTGCCCTGGAGGCGATCCTATAAAGAAGCAAAGCCCGCTGGTGGTACAGTGCTCTGCGTGCACAGCGAGCGCTGCCGGCCCAGGAAATGCCAGTGCACCTCTTACCGCTCCCTGCTCGAACCTATAGACTGTCCATCTGAGCCTCGCTCACAACCAGCCCGTACACTCTTGTTCTCACCGAGTGCTGGGTTTTGACGCGGCGCCAGACGCTTCCCCGCTTCAGCAATTTGTGAAGAACGGACTGCCGCAGCGCCAAACTTGCCCCCTCCCTGACGTGCCCTAGCGTCTGCAAGCGGACAAGACTGTACAAACTCTTCCTGGAATCGCAATGCATGGGCTGTATGTTACCCAAAGTTGGTTGAACGGCTCATGGATTTCGTAGGGCTCGAACATTATCCAGCTTGGCCTTGGTTTTTACATAACGTCTGGAGCCTAGTAGGCTTCAATTGCTCCGCATTACTCAATGGCAACGGAATACATGGCGCAATCCAGGGATTTATTCCTCTCACCCTTTTCTGCAGATTTGATGTTTTTTTTCTATGAAAAGATCTCATAGATGTTAAGCTGTGGCCCACAAAAGGGCTTGGTCCAGAATAAATATATTTTTCCAGTAAAAAATAGACAAACAAATTAATAAGTGCATAAAGGAGAAGTACTAACCTTCTCCAATGTCTGCTTCGTTATCATCAAAACCATTCGTCGGCCTTTCCCCAGGATGACCCGAAGTCTTACCTACACCTGACTGCTGTCTGTCCAGACGTTCAAAGCTTCCTGGGGGCCACTCCTTAGACGTCAATAGTCCATCATGAGGGTCTTCTGGGTCGAATCCTCCATTCAGAGGGAATTCTTCCATACCCAGCGAAGGCTTTTCTCTACCACCATGTAAACCTTGTTGTGAAGTATTGTTGCCAAGGTCTTGTCGAGAATATGGTGATGAACTGCTGGAAGTACACGTCCATTAAGAAGTCTTTTGAGAGAGAAATACTCTTGCAAACCTTTTGTCATAGTCGCCTTCATGGTTCGTGATGATCCACCTCCCAGTAAAGGATCCACATGTCCTGTACCACTGATGGGACCTCCAGACGGCCCAGAGGCAGAATCGTCGTAGTCAGAAGGATACTGAAATGCGATAGATACCCTCTTCTTTTCGAAGGGACAAGGTTCTCAACGCAGCAGTTGCTTCCTTGGTCTTTTTTCGCATATCTTGGCCCTCTGATCGGATTCTTAACATTTATTATTCAATAAATATCATCA